CTATATAAAACTTATTGTTACGTAATATTTATTGCATTAAAATTATTAAATCGTAAGTGGGCATTCATATATGGGTGATTATTTTTGAATCCAGACTAGCGTTGCAAACTTAATTAAATTAATTTGGTTATTATAAAAGCTAAAAATCAAAATTAATAATATTTTTGTATAATTAATAATTTTACATACGTACAAGTTATTTAAACTACGTACGTACGTACGTACAGTACGTGTACGAACAATAAATGGCATTACACCAAACAGTATATATTATATCAATGGCAAAATTATTATTAAATTACTGTAATGAAATTTTGCTCTTATAATTCTAGATTAATTACGATATATTGCAATTTTTGTAATTCCAGACCAAATGTTATTACGTCATAAATATAAAATTGGTCCTGAATCAAAAATAATTACCCATATATCTAACTTGGTCAGTTTTGATATAGTCGGATAGACTTTACTTCTGCATAACTTTAATTCGAAATTTAATTTAATATATTACATTTGAATTGCAACAAAAATAAGTTATACTTTATCGCAATCCATCATTCCAATAGATGAGACAAGGTGTTTTCTCCTCATTTTTAAAAAGTATGTGCATGAACAAATCAATTAATTTGTTTCGATGCTAATACCTTTGCATGTAATTTTCGACCATTAACAAGGAAATTGTATCGTCAGTTTTTGCAATACTGGAATATTTCACTTGTCATTGTATAGTTTAAATAGCAAGCAATGTTAGAACGAAAAGCAATATATATATATATATATTGATTAAAAAAGTAATAATAATAATCGTCTTTATTGCTGCTGTATAATTAATCTGCATTTTAATTTAAGCTCAGTTGCGTAAATTTTTTTTAGGGGAATGTTAGGTTCGTGTTGCATAATTTTTTGCGGCCTTTTATTTGGCATATACCGTAAGTTACCACATCAGATCCACTATGCACTATACTCGGGTGAGAATTCCGGAATCTACATTAATAAAATATAGTTTTTTTTCAAATATCTAAACTACCATACCCGGGTCTATTATAGGCTTTAAAATCAGTGGAATGTAAGAGACCCGGGTCTTTTATCCGGCCATTTACGGTACATTCTGTGTTTTGGCATTTTAGTAATTTTCGTATGACAAATTATTAATTAGTTTGCTTTTTGCAAAGATAATAAAAATAATCATGAATTTTTCATGATCAGATTACTTGTTAAAGTTTCTACAGGGGACGACCTAAAATTTATCATCATTACAGGTGCGGTTGCCAGTATACATGGGTGTCTAAATTATTCCTCTTAATAAAAAATTATTTCGACATTTAGTCTGTCGAAATTAATTTTTCTAGTGGCGAAATTAATTTTCATAGTTGTCGAAATTTTTAGTGAAATTATTTAAATTCTTTATATCGAAATACATTAAGTAGTATATGTCGAATTGAAAAAATAGTTGTCAGTTTAGGGGTCGTTTAAAGCCAGGTACATTACGAGTTTTTCTTATGCCTACGACCATTTAAAAATACAAGAAACGAGTGTCTAGATGCACCTTGGCGCATTAAGTAAAAGTGTCTGGGAGGACGATATTACATATAGTGTTCTTCTAACATTAACCTATACAGGCCCTAATCTAACCCTAATCTTAAAGTTAATAGTATTTTTTTGACGTACCCAAAAAAGGAAATTTGATTTTGTAAATAAACAAAGTGCGTAAAAACACAAATTTAGGGTTAGGATGTTAATATTAAAAGCTATAGACTATTGCTCGTTATTGTCCGAAGCGTAGCGATGACTCACTTTGATAAAAGTTGAATGCACGTCTATGCAATGTATGTACGAAACATCCAATAAGAATTGAGAATTGAAGGTTCCCGTGATGATCAGCAGTCATTGTAACTCTAGGTTACATCAAACTTATTCTTTTTGATTAAAACAAGTTTTCTATTCTATAAAACTTGTAAGTTTTTTTAAAACTTTCTTTGTAATACGACACAACTCTATTTTTCCTGAAAATCTCTAATAATCAAGTTTAACAAATCAGTATGTGCATGAAGATTTTAACGTACAGTAAATGTGGCAGATTAAAATGAAATCAGATTAAAATGAAATGAGCGATAGTGTAAAATAGACAAGCCACCGAAAAATACAAATTTTTGGGGTGCATTTTTTTAGGGTTAGGATTAGGGTTTAGAAGCAGGTTTCATAATAAACAAGTATAAATGGGTTTTAGAGGGTCAAATAGAAACCTCTCATTTCATTTTAATCCGATTTCATTATGATCTGCGACAGTAAATGCATTTTTTCGCTTCGGACATCTATCAGATTCTGATTTCCTAGCTATAGATGCAGACTTATTTACGTCATTAGTTACGGCTCAATTGCGGTTTATTTTATAAACCGATTTTTTGTATAGGACGCAACTAGGTGATGTCATAAGTCTGCATCTATGCTCGTTATATGTAAAATTTCGTTCCCAACATTTTTAATTAGTGTATCAAGATCGATTTAAATTCTAGTTTTTCTCACTGATTGGCTATTTCCTTTTTAGGAGTTGTATTTGACACAAATAAGTTAACGTTAAGTAAAGCCTTTAAACACCCACAGATTTGGGTTAGCCCCAAAACCAGTTTATGCAGCCGTTTTGATTTCGTTGGATAGCCGGTTTTCCTGTGTAGCCTCAATCAAAAATTTCTTATTTTGGATTTTCTATATTTGACGAAATTAAAAGATGAACTGGCATCGAGATTTTTGTGTTACTTCCAATCTTATAAGAATGTTAGTAATTCACTCAACACTTTTTTCTTAAACGCTCTCTTATACTGATTATCTACATTTAAGTTTCCACATACTCTATCAAAATCAAATGTCTTCAAACAATGATGCTTTACAAAATCAAATGTCTTCAAACAATGATGCTTTAAACTTTGTTATAGTTGATCCCTCGCGTCAAATTTCACGTCAGAAAACTATCGAAAAGATTCAGGCTCTTGAAGATAGAATTTCTTCTTTAGAAACTATCAAACAGATTCAGGTTCTTGAAGATACAATTTCTCCCTTAGAAGAAAAATTATCTTCTTTAGAAACTATCAAAAAGATTCAGGCTCTTGAAGATAAAATTTCTTCTTTAGAAGAAAAATTATCTCTTGAAGATAAAATTTCTTCTTTAGAAGAAAAATTATCTTCTTTAGAAACAAACTTTTCTTTGTATAATCAGTGGATTTCTCAGCTGACTCTTCTTGCGTTTCCTCCTGAACTTTAGCGTTTCTCACTCTGGAATTTCTGGTACTATGTATGTATGTATTTACAGCATTATTTTCATATTAAATTTCGTATTTCTTGATGCTCATTTGATCTATTTTGCTACTTTTAACCGTTTATCAGAGCGTGCACGTTTCTTTTACACAATTTTTATTTTTGAATTCTGTACTAAGTTTATTTTTTTTGGAACTGATTATGAGATTGTCATTTAGTTATTTCGTTTGTCTCATGTATTTATAATATATCTTTATGATGTAATATATTTAGCTATAAACAATTATTATTGTTTTAATAAAAATTATTTTATTGGCTCATCTTTGTATAAGGTCAGGAGAAGGCATAGTATATGCTTAGGATATCATGGATGACCGGTAAAAATCGCGGTTTTTTTTTTTAAAAAAATAACACCATATATACGACCCGGTGTGACAATAATATTTACATCACGTAAAATAAAGTATCTGGCTTGTGTAATGTTAAATGCGGGCGGATTTTTTCGATTTGGTGATTATTAAAAATTAATGATAACATTTCATAAAATTTAATCCAATCATTTATTTGATCTCCGCAAAATTGAATTGTACAATTTTATTTGGCTTATGAATCGCTTATGAAACCGTTTATGAAACCGCATAACAACTATAAATCATCATTGTGTTTAATTGGCCAGTTACTTAGCAAGAAATTGCATATGAAACTGATCATGAAGCTGCATAACATTTATAAATAAATCATTAATAAATCATTACGTATATCACTTAATTTTAATAATCACCCTATCAAAAATTTGAAATGGCCTAATTTGGACTTATGTAACCTTAAACGCGATTAAAAATATAATTTGAAATGGCCTAATTTGGACTTATGTAACCTTAAACGCGATTAAAAATACTAATTTGAGCTTATAGATGGGCAAAACACAAGTAGAATATCCATTTTCGGCTTGTATCACCTTTATTATATGGGTGTCGTCATCATGAAAAATCAAGTACGTTGTGAAAGGCGAAATAATCCTCTTTCTAGGTAATACCAATATACACGACAATACAACACTAAATACTAACTAAACTACTCTAACCAGAACACTACAACTAATACAACCAAACCCTAATATTGGT